CCACGTGGAGCTCCGCCCCCCCCCCCCGAGTATTGCGGGTCCCCTTTGTAGTATTCTATTCAGTTACATTGTCCTTGTCAGCTTTATACCCTGTAGAGTTTGTAGTTCATATTATGCTTCATATACTTGTAGTCTCTTGTGGAATTTTTGCAGTGCTTAAGAGTATTCATGTTCATGTACATGCGATAGTTATGATCCTTAATTTCAATTAGACTGTAGTTCCATGTAGTGGTGACTATTGCTTTTTTTTTTGTCTCTGGGGAGGAACTCTTTAGGCTAAGGCTGTGTGGAGTTGGGCAGGAAATGGCAGATTCCCCGATCTTGGGGAAGTTTGGCGTTTTCAAAGCCTGTGGAGCAGCTTGAGGGGATGACTGCATTTGAGGGGGTCAAAGACCTGGCTCTATCGATGTACAAAACTGGGGGGAAAGGTGGGCGAACAAAAGTAAGGCTTGGTATGATGAGCATTTGTGAGTTGGGGAAAAGCAGGGTGGGGTGAGAGCGAACCTCTGGACGCACTGCTCCTTCTTCTTTTTGGCTTTCCCTGATCAGTTTGCTCCATAATCAGATCACCAGCGTGACCTGGAAGAAGAAGGGGGGAGACATGAGCCTGTATAACACTCCCCTCCAGCTGCTCAACCATCCACTTGCAGAGTGACAGCAGAACACTTTGCCAAGGCCTCAGGGGTCCCCCTTAAGCAAGTGGCAGTCTCTGGCCATCTCAGTGAGCCATAGGGCCTTGGGAACCCTCGCAGGAGTCAGACAGACACACACAATCTGCTGTTGGGGCCCCTGTGGGCGTGATTCTGGTTGGCATTGAAATCTGAACTCTCAGAGGACGTGCCCATTGAAGCAGCTTTTACTGGCTTCCGTTGCCCAGGGCCGCTGCGATCCATGGTGGAGGACCTCCAGTCTGAGGAATCGGATGACGATGACAGCTCTTCTGGCGAAGAGACGGCCGTCAAGGCAGCCCCCGTCAACAGAGACACCAGGTGAGCCAGCGTGGGTAACATGGAGTGGCAGTTCATAGAGCCATAAAAAGGGGGGGGCGGGGGGGGGGGGGGCTCGTCAGGTGGTTTGTTGTTCTCCCTCCATCCTTTGTGCTGAATTTTGCAGCTTGATGTGGCCAGGATGAGATGGCAGCTTTATCATCTGTAAGCGATGGCACTGGGGATTTATCCTCTGGTTATAGTAACATCTGAGCTGAACAGAACAGCTGTCAGTTCTAGCCCCGTGCTGGTGTGAGCTACCAGCCTTGTCCCCAGCTCGCCGTCCACCCAGCGGTTTGAAAGCTTTGGCGAGTAGATAAAATGGGTACCACTCCTTAGAGAGGGTGGGCACACTAACCCCCCCCCGGTGGGGGGAGGTGTTAGCCGGCGAACAGAATGTCCAGCTCGTAAGATCGGAAGCCTAGAAAGATCTCTTTGGCATCAAGAAGCCTGTAATGGGCCATTCCGGCCAGGCGGTGGCAGTGCAGCGTTGCGACTCAAATCAGACCTGGAGAAAGCTGACGTCATCAAGCCAAGCCGAGTGAAAAATGCCGTCTGGAACATTGAAATGTGTAACTGTAAATCGCTCAGAGCCAGCAGCTCTGCAGGATTGAGCCATTAATAAATTGAAATATTATTTATTATTATTATTATTATTATTATTATCATCATCATCTTCTTCTTCTTCTTCTTAAAAAAAAAGAGGTTGCACAAAAGTTATTGGATGCTCCCAGCCTCCTTAGAGAGCGCAAGTGAAGCGACTTTGCATGCCGAATGTGGCTCAACTTTCTGTCACCCTGGTTGGCCGGGTGGGGAAGGAGGGGAAGAAGGGGCCTGTTGGAAATAAAGGAGGCCCTTGTCCTGACCAGCTGAGTCAGTGTGAGCCGGCTCACAGTTTTTAGCCTCCGGCTCACAGATTTTTGTCTCCGCTCAGGAAGGAGGGCTCCAGAGCAAAATAATTTATGCAGTAGCCGAATCGCTCGATCACCACTTCAGTGCCAGTAGCTCCCAAAGTAGAATTTTTGTTCACAAGACTCCACAGCTTAGAAGGGAGCGTTGGTCCTGGCCCAGGCAAGTCCTGCCGGATGTCCCTTGAGGATCTCAGAATGTGCCAAGCACTCTGAAAAATGGTGGGGATGCCCTTTCTCCACAGCCCCTGAGGGCTGGTGTTGCTTATTTGCTTTCAAGTGAATCAGTGGAGGAAGAGTCTTCTGGATTTGTCATCCTGATAATGGGGTGCTTGTGCGGGGTTGTAACAGAAGCATGGGACAGGCAGCCAAGGACCCGAGCAGCCTCCAGTAAGCAGTACCGGTTGTCAGGCCTTACATCTGTTGCCGGGGAGCTGGGAGTCTCTTCCTCCGTCATTTCTCTCCCCTTCCTTTTCAAGTATGCAGCTTAGTGGCAGAAGATCATAAAAATTGCCAAAGAGCTGTCTAGGCTGGCGTTTCAGACAGCGGCCCGCCTCTTGTCTTCGGAGAGCTCGAAAGCCAGCCTCTGAACGTGTTCTGTGCCAACAGCTGTTTGGGGAGAGGGTGATCATTGTTTCTTTTCAGGCTTGCTTCTTTCTCTTTCTCTCTCCCCGCTTGCCTCTGCAGGCTCAGCCACAGCGATAGTGACAGCGACAACAGTGCAGATTCCTGCTTGCCAAGCCGTGAACCTCCTCCCAGCCAGAAACTCCCCCCTTCAAGCAATAAGGTACTGGGAAGCTGACGATTCACTGCCACTGTGCAGCAACCGGGGTCACTGTTCCCTCCCTCCCTCCCTCCTCCCGTCCATGGGCTGGTGGCATTTGGCCTCCCTCATATGTACATCCCACCCCCCATACATCAGATTAAGGGACAGACAGCTCCACTTCCCGCTCGTCACGTGTGTTTTCCTTTGAACCGAGGCTAACTGGGGTGTGTGCGGTTGTTCCTCCTAACTCTTCTCAGGTTTCTGGGAGAAAGAGTCCAGAGTCCTGCAGCAAACCAGAAAAGATCCTCAAGAAAGGGACCTACGACAAGGTAATTTCATGACGAGAGGGGCATTTTGAGTTGTGCAGAGTGGGAGAGGCCTGGCCTCTTTGGGGTAACCTTGCACAGCTTTGTTGCGAAGCAAAGCCAGCCCTGACTGGCTGAAGCTGTCAGCCCCAGGGGCCTTTTGAAGACACAAAGTTGCCTTATACCAAGTCAGACCCTTAATCCGTCCAGCCCAAAACTGTCTGCTCTGACCAGCTCTGGGTTTGTGAGCAGAGAAAAGGGTTTCCCCAAGGCCGGCTTCCAAAGACCCTTTTAAGTGGAGAAACCGGGGGTTGAACCTGGGACCTTCTGCCTGTGGAAGCTTCTACCTCTGTGCTGCAGCCTCTCTTGATGGCCTTTAGCTCTAGGTGCCAAGGGGCTGGCTTTGACACTTAGCCAAAGGAGAACTCCCAAGCATCCATGAGCATTTTGTAAGACCCACTTTCCAGGGCACCTTTTATCTCTGCTAGACACTCCCAGAAGCACATGAAGGAAACATCCTTGGTTGACCTGGATCAGGAGTAGCGTTCTCCACCCTTTGGAGCCAGTCGCATGAAAAATGGGTTTGCCTGTTTCTGGCGGGCTCTGTAAAGATGGGGTGCAACGCGTACAGCGAATGCATACCACGTAAGCTCTCTTGGGCCCTCTCTTGCCATCCGTAGAGAATGGCCTGTCCGTGTGGCATTGCTGGGCCGCTCTGGACCCCTCCTGGTTCTCCCCCGCTGGAGCATTTGTGTGTTTGACGGTGTAAAGTGTTTTCCTAACCACAAGAAAGAAGCCTGGGCAACTCTCCTGCTGATTCTTGGTAGGGGGAACTGAGCAGCAGGATTGGGGAGGAAGATTAACACAAAGTGAAGATCCATTTCTTAGACATTTATTCTAAGTACACACAAACAGATGGAAAGGAAAGCCTGGCAACAGAGTAAAGTACAGTACTGAGTAATTCAAAGATTACAGAGAGTTTCTGGGCAGCCGCCAGGCCTGTACCTATGGTGGGGCTTTGGGGGGTGCTGCCCCCTTTCTTAAAGGCACAGCCCCACAAGAATTTCTCCTGTAAATGCTTTTTTCCCAATCATTTTTTTAGAAGGCGTGCACTCCTTTAAGCAGAGTGGGGTGCTGTAGTTGACAAATTCCCACACTGAGCAAGGGGGTTGGAGTGGGTGACCTCTAGGATCCCTTCTAGCTCTGTGTCAAGAAACATGTTTTTCTGCCTAAGTGTTAGCTCTCTTGACTATAGGCTGGCAGAAGTGATTAACGTGCAGTGGCTGAGAACTGTCATCTAAAGTGGTTGACAGCTTGCAAGGTAGAGATCTATCCGGGTCACAGCTTTCTGTTGGCTAAGTGGCTTTTCTTTCTGCACTGAGAACTTCAGCCCCACCAGAATAAAATTTGCCCCACAAGCCACAGACTCCTGGCTTGGCAGCCACCCCTCCCTTGTGAAAGCCGGGCCCGGCATTCCGAGGCTAGTAGCTGAAAGTGGGCAGAGGGACCTCTCGTTAGTCTTCTGTGGGGAGGGGAGGTTTGTCTTTGGGCAGCTGAAGTGTGTGTGTGTTGGGGGGGGGGGAGATTTTTCATATACTTCCCTCCAAAAAGGCCCAGTCCAGGGGACTGTTTTTCTCCAAGGGTTGTGTGTGTGCGTGCGCACTCACCCAACACTTCTGGGGTTGTGTGTAAAGCGAAGAGTGGAGTGCCGAGGCCTCTGAGCCCCTGAGGTATTAGAGGAGAGGAAGGCTTCTGTTGTCCTCCCCCAGGGTAAAGAGTGACATCCACCATCTTCGTGTCCAATCCGGTATTCTGATCGGGCCTGGCCCCGCTTGTTAAATGGAGTTTTTGGTCAGCTGTGATGGGCTGCTTTCACAGACATTCGGATAACGCACTTTCAGTGCACCTGAGCAATTGTTGGCAAGTGGATGTCCCTGTTTCACACAGGAAAATCCAGTCGCAAACAATTGCTAAAGTGCATTGAAAGCGCGTTATCCCATTGGTGTGAAAGCAGCCACAGTAATACAAAAACCGACCTTTCTTGCAGCAGCAGGGCTGTCATTATAGTTATTGTATGGCATTGTGTGTAGAATAGCCAGGAGATCCTAAGATTGTCTGGCAGCCAGAAGTTCTAGCTTTAGAGTTATGTATTACTGGGTGGTGAGCGAGACTTGTTTTTTTAAGGCAAGAGACATTTCAGAGGTGGTTTTCCATTGCCCGCCTCTGCGTCACACCCCCGGTATTCCTAGGAAGTCACCCTTCCAAATACGAGCCAAGGCCAACCCTGCTTCGCTTCCGAGATTGGACGCGACTGGGCCAGCCTGGGCTATCTAGGTTAGGAGCAGTAGGGCTGTTCATCCAGCACAGGTTCTTCCCCAACAACAGGATTCATCACATCCCCGAAAGTGAGACTGTGGGTCGGCAGTAGAAGCATACATTTTGCGTGCGGGTGGTCTCAGTCTTAGTCCCTGGTGCTGCCATTTACAGGGATCTCAGGTGCTGGGAAAGGCTTCTCTGATAGCCCCGGGAAGCCATAGCCAGTCAGAGCAGATGATGAGGCCAAAGGCTAGGCTCAGCCCAAAGCAGCTGCATCCACTCCTACCTACCTACCTACCTACCTA